ACTGTATTACAATTGTTGATGCACTGAAGCTCAGAGCATGCTGCCTTTATAGCATTCGACCGGCCCTAAACCGGAACAGTTACCCGGACAACCCACTGAACCCAGTTTTGACGGTGAACGTAACTGTAGTAAACAATACTGAGTTACAGTTATTAATTTGACTATAAAGTTTATTAAATTAGCAATAATTAGTAAATGAGCAGTAACTGTAATTTATTTTCCGCAATTTCCGGGATTTGAAAATCCGGAAGTTTCCAATTCTATATCATCAGTGTCTCCGGGCCTGAGGAAATTTTACCCTAGAGCCAATTTTTTAGGTAAATTTTTTTACCATGACCACCTGGCCCTCCACCTTTCACCTATTGATGAATTTCATTAAAGTGCTATGAATATCATTAAAAATACCTCCTTCAATATAGGGTATAATCCATAGGGTTTGGAGACACTGTCAATAATAGTTATTCACCATTATTAGATCTATATAATCAAGATCAATTCTTAAATTTTTACAAATTACAGAAAATTTAAAAGTAAGACGAGACAAAAAGATTTAATAAATTTTTATTCAAAGATAAGTAAATATTTCCGTAAATTCCCACAGACTCATACAACACAGCAAATTTTGACAATAACATGAATAAATAAAATAAAATGAATGTAATAAATTTCCATTACAGCTGTAATCTTCATAATAAATAGCATATGCTAATTGACAAGGAATATATAATATAAAAATATAGTACAGTTGAAAGACTTGCTCAGTTAAAGAGTGCAATGATTTCAGTTAATTCCTTTTAATAGTCCAACATACACTAGGTAACTTTGTTGCCAGAACTTCTGATGCCATCAGGCAACTTGTTGCTACTGAAAGTTGAGAGTCTCTCTACTTCATACAAAACATGTTGCAACTAATGACACAAAAACTCTGACCACAAGTTGAAAGTTGCCAAGTTATGTCGAGATCAAGTGAAGCTCAGTGACAGGTGGAGGAGGAGGGAATGGAAGAAATAAAGGAGACACAACTAATCGATCTAAAAGTGTATAAAAAGTTAAAAACATCAATATACAAACTATATAACTATTGGACAGGCTTACCTTGATATTTTGAAATTTCCAAGCTATGTGGTATAAAGTCCAAAGGAGGTATATCTATTAATAATATTACATTAATACACAGTAAGACAGTGTATAGTAACACTGACCAG